ATTTCTAGGGGGTTCTCAAGGGAAATAGTGCATTGATGACTTCAAGCACAAAACAACACACTATCAAAATACAGCCTGAAGGAAGCTAATTCTGTTGCATTGGTAAGATTATTGTGTGCGGTACCTGGTTTGTTTTTTTCACATGTGCCTGATCATCTGGGACATTTTAATTGCTGATCCTTTAGTTGTATAACTAGTCAACCCTAACTTGATGTAACTATCATTATTTTAAAGTATATGTTTTTTTTCCAAGTAAGTTTCAGCTGTTGTTTAGATGTGACAGACAAATAGTCAGAGTTGCACTGCAATCAAATAGCAGCTACTGTACACTTTTAATCAGCACTCCGATTAGTACCCGTTTCAAAGAAACCTATGGTTTTCAGAACAAAAAATGTTGATGTTGACTGATCTGATCTGACTAATGTGAATGGGGTTATTGACTGATCTCTACAAAGAAACACAAAACGAGACAAATATTTAAAGTTAAACTAATTTTAATAAACTATGTTTCATCCATTTTTAGCTAAAGAATACTAAATAATTCACCTCTGAAAACTACAAATTGTACATATCTTTTTATAGTGTGTGTTGTATAGTTATGATATTGTAATGCACGTTTGTCTCATATATGTTTGGGCATGAGTATCACTGTAATCATAAAACCGTGTCAGTGCCTTCAGAAAGTATTCACCTCTTTCCCTCCCAGAACAACTGTAAATGTTGTTAACCAGAATTTTTAATGCATTTAAATTATTTTTATGACATTATGTTTCCCTTGACTCAAACAAGATATGCAAGGATGAAGCCGATGGGCGACAATGAGACATCCTATATACTACATTTGCACGGGGAATTGGGGAACTACTGCACAGCCATACCCACACACAGCCTTTCCTATAAAAGCCATACGGAATGACAAGGGGGTGTCTGTTCAGACCCTCACAATTCATTGAAAGGGTGAGTCACGAAAATCTCTGGGTGAGATTTTATACAGCCCGAAAAGAAAGAAAACCAATCCAGGTTAAAGACAATAACCACCTTCTGAGGCGTGAATAACAGCTGTAGCCGTGTCAGCTGCAGATTAAAAGGAAGACCGGTATGGTGGACTGGACAAATGTGTTTGACTGGGTGTGGGTTTTCCGCTGTTATTACCAGGACAAAGCAGAGATCTATATTCGGTTACTGTACATCAGTGAGTTCCGGTTGCTGATAAGGCACTCCTAAAGGGACGTTTGAGTGCAGATTGTTACTTCTAGTCTTTGTGTACTGTGTGTTAGGTTGCTTTGGCACCATTATTCGTATTAGTTTAGGTGGGTAGCTGTGTCAGCAAAGGAACAAGTCATAGGTTTATTCCAGGCTGAAAAGAGAAGAAAGAAAACACAACGTTTAGGCGGTGGAGCCTTCTTCGGGTGTGAGAAGAAGGCTCCACAGCCGGTACGTTGTTTTTTCTTCTCTTTTCAGCATGGAATAAACCCATTACTTGTTCCTTTATTATTCGTATTGTACAGTATTTGTTGCTCTGAGAAAGATAAAAAAGACCGGTTTTCTTTCTCTTCCAGGACCAAATTTGCCCCACTGTTTTTTGTGTACTTTATCTTGGTTGCTTACACAGTCACCCCTTCTTCCATCTTCGTTTCTTTCAGGTTAAAAGTGGAGAAAATGTCATAAAAAGAAGCGAGTGGAGAGAGGCTACAGGTTCAAGCACGCAAGTCTTCACTCATGCTCCGGAGATAGATGTGCTTCTCACCAGTTATGCTTCTCAAAGCATTCTGCACCCTTATCTATAGAAAAACTACTTGGTGATGTGCGAAAGGAAGGCAGTGGCTCCTCTGTCCCAGATCTGAGAATCCTCAGCAGGTTTGTCAGAGAAGGGCACTTCAGAGTGATTGCAGACAAAGATGCTCTGGAATTTGTGTAGTCTTGTCTGGTCACTTTGGTGGATTTAAATGATGCTTATGTCACAGAGTGACAAAGGGTTTCATGCAGCAGGTTTCACAGTCCATATTGACTATAAGTATGCATATATCAGCCATGCATAAAATGTATTTGTCATTAAAAAAAAAAGTGTTTTTGTTTTTCTTTGTGTCTGCTTCCTCCCTGTATTTAATCAAGGTCTCCTGGCACTAACAGTGGGGTAGGTGCCAATCAAATAAAGATTGAATAACACATTGTTTTGCCCAATTATCACAAAGTCATTGATGATACTTTAGACCGTGTGCGACTGTGGAAGAGGTTGGACCTGTCCTGCAACAGGGGGACAAAGTGGAAGCAGAAGAGACGAAGGAGGAAGGGACAGTGCACCATTACATCTCGTGAACTGTATACCATCAGTTCATTTATTAGCCTCCCCTCATTGGGTCTGTCGCCCCATCCAGGATGTACCCAGCCTTGCATCGCTTGCTCCTGAATTGGAAGGAACGGTTAGAAAACAGTTGGATGGATGAAGTAGCTTGATTTACTTTCACATTCTTGTCGGTCCTGAGTCACTGTACTGTACAATTCACTGTAGTCAAGTGCACGGAACAGGCTCTTCCGTCCCTGCTGCTGCAGAGCTTCACTGCCCTGAGTTATCTGGATAATGGGCTGATGTGACAGAAGTCCAGCAATTCGATTGTGTTCCACACAGCCCTCATCAACGACCACCTTCATCAGCTCTGCCTCACATTCAGCCTGGACAAACTCCCTTACCACAACAGACTATGTCTCTGGGCCTCCAAAACTGGACTCCTGTGAGATGAGAGCCTCACTGTCTGGTGACAGGATAGCATCGCTCATGAAGAGCCATGCCCATGTCAGTTTGGGAAGAATGGTCACGTCAGTGGCTCCTGGACCTAATGATTACTGTCTCCACTGAACTACTGCTGGGCTTACTCTGACGTTGGCCAATGCAGTCATGGTTCAACACGCTGAGCGATTGGCAAGTGTTATGTTAGGACCTTTCAAGGTAGTTCCTTCCCCACTGGAATTTCTGGAAATTCCAAAAGCCAAGACTGATCTCCATGACCTACAAGAGAGAAGGCAGCCCATCATCCCCCACAGGGGCTGGAAGCACACTCCACTTGAAGTATGGGCATGTCATTGTCGACTCCAGAAGAAGGACAGGGAGCTCAGGTCAGCCCTGGACCTCAGGGACTCGAATTATCTTTGTACTCTCTTCTGAGCAGGCACTGTTCTGATTTCAAGCCTCAGTCCTACCATATGACAACTCCTGGAAAAACATGTTTTCCCCTGCTCGGTGCGTTTTGATTGGATGCAACAAAACGCCTGACCTTGAACTTCTCTGGAGAACGGGGTGCAGCCACCCAAATATAAGTCTGCCCAAGGAGCTCAAAATTCATATTTATTGAGGGTTTCTGGCAGGATTTGACACACTAACAACTGTGTTACAAGAAAGCCACACATGAAGACAAACTAACCTGAGTGGAGACAGGGGTTTTATTGTGGTAAGATAAAGATTTTGCACTCTTGTTCTTACACATGTAGATCCTTAGGTCTTATAAAATACATGCAATGCATCCATACACTTCAATCTATTATTTATCCAGGATGTGACAGATCATGAACTCATACGCCTTCTAAAAACAAAAATGTGGTGGCTTGGGGCTGAAGAGTTTGTGAAAAATCTTTATCAATGCGAATTTGTGCTGTCTTTTACACATAGTGCACAAATATAACTAATATGAATTCCCGACAATATGTGTACAGTATTTATATTAATATAATTTCTTTTGTTTTTGTAGTAACGCACCGAGACATTAAAAAAAATCCACACAGAAAACAGAAAGTGTCATTGGAGATTCTTTTGACTTTTATTTTTTTGACAATACATTTCTTCAGTCAATAAGACTTTAATTCAGTTGGTGTCACAGTCTTTCAGCTATTAAAATAGCTTCCAAAAATTATTGTTTGTTTCTAACACTGCACTTGATATTTGATAAAAATATAGAATCTTTATTTCCAGATTAATCTATCTTTTGTCGGTGAAAGGTATTAATAGTTAGTCTTCACAGGAAATAAATTACAGTATATCTTTTCAATTATTTTATATTTGCTTTGTGTCAGGTGAAATATTTTACACTGCAACACTTTAAATACCAATAAATCACAACCCCAAGAGAAGTTGAATCAAAATTGCTTTAGGAATTAATGTTTTCCCTTTTTAGCAACATTTTAAAGTGTACAATATCCATCTAATGATGGGGGTCACAACACAAATATATTAATAATAAAACAATTCAAAAGAATAATACTGTATGAACAATTTTGGAAACTAATAACATGAAGACAAAGTTATTTGTTCATATACTATAAAATATTGCCAAATTTTCTGAAAGGGCATGCAAACGTTAGAAGACCAGATTATATATACTGCATATGGAGATTAATGAAAATTCTTACATGTTTTGAAAATGTGTTGGAGTTTTTTAGAAGAATAAGCAGAAGAAGAAAACTGTACTGGAGTAGAGCACTTTATAAAGTGAAATACATATTTATGTATCAATTAATGGTTTCTCAAATGTGTAAATACAGCCTTTCAGAAAACAAAAAGCATAACTTCTGATTTTACTCCTTTACTTCACCTGGAAATCTCCCTTTGCTTTCTATCCCAAAATCTTCCTACCAAAACAAAATATCAAAATTATTTTGTAATAATAATATTGCCTGCGTATCCGCACATTGACAAGAAATATATTAGTGAGAGTATTGATATATTATCAAAGCTTGATTGATATAGCATAAAAGTTTGTAACCTGTGTTACTGTAGTGTCCATGAAAGATGCTGTAAATACTGAAATATTCACCTAGGTAACGTTCTCACGCTCTCCATCCACATTTTGTTTCCTAGACATTGAAATGGTCATCTTACTGAGAGTATTCAAGGAGATTTTGTTCAAATTCTATATAAAGTCTACAGTATATATAATTATGATTATATATATATAAAGTATTATTTTTTCCCTTTCCGGAAAACAATGTGGCTATGAGACTTAGTTTCCACCTGTTTTTTTAAATCAATCTCTGTGTCTTTGAAACAGACTCTTTGTTTTAACCTGGATCTATTGTTCTTAAATTGCTTAGTAATTATTTCTGTAATGTTATCTTATCTGTTTTTCCAT